CCGGGCCCGGGCCCGTCCCGTTTCCCTCGGCCGGGGACGTTCCGGTAAGGAACAGCGGAAAGAGGGTATAGCGATGGCAACGAGACGGTAACCGATAAAACGCCGAGAGGTGACCGTGTTCGCCGCCTGGAAAAGCACCACCAACACAAAACACGTGCTGGCCCGCGACGCAGAGGGCGGCCCGCCCGTTTCGGAGTAAGCCCTGAAAACTGTCACTGCGGTTCGTGGCGCTTCGTTCGGCAGATCCGCAAGAGGGGGGTGGAGGGGAGCAGCTTGGAAAGGGGCGAGCTCAGCTGCGAGCGGCCCGCACGAATTTCGTGTTGCCGTGGGTCTTCAGGCCTCGTGGAGAAGATAAGTTGCTCCACCAGACGCTTGAGCTGTTTATTGGCTGATTCCCTGTCTTTATTTCTAGACAGATCTCGGCTAGGAGGGAAAGAATGATACGTTTTAAGAAGTTTTTGACAGGAGCCTACGTAGAGCTGTTTGTATGAGTCTCTGAGGGTAAGCGGTAATAGCATGTTAATCTCAAACGTAAGCTTGTATGTTAAATTTGAGATAGGAATTTACATTCATACGTTCTGTAATAGGTGATTGTGTAACTTAGATTGAAAATACGCACATTCAGGATTTCATTATATGTTCTTGTCAGTGCGCTTGTAGGCTCTGACTTGATCTTTGTGATTGGTTAAAGCTTCTGTTTCTTTTAGTAAATTGGTCCTTCAGGGAAAAAAAAACTATTAGCATCACAAGATAATGCTTTGTCAGTTTACTTGGCAAGTACTATTCAGAGTGCTACTAGCTGATGATAACACTAGTATTATACTGTTTCTTTAACCTATGATTCCACCTCCCACACACAGCTTTAGAAACAATTAAGATTATGATACTTCTGACCTAAAAGAGAAAAGTTCGGATTTATTCAGAATATTATTAACCCTGCAACTAGGCTAACCTGAAATAAACAGGCTATAAGACATTTTGATTTTGTATTAAAAAAAAAAGAATGTTTTTTATTTTCATCAAATGTGTATTAAACCTCTTTAGTGAACAGAAGAATAGCAGTGACTAGAAATGTATTGTGTTTCTTGATATTTGTGGCAAAGTTATAATTTTAGCAACAGGGGAATCATGAACCTTTGCCATACTCCTTCCTTAAAAATTAGTGCCTTCCTCATTAACCAGGTGATATTTTTTGCCCAAGATTCTTACATGATGGTCTAAAAGCTACTTACAGATATACTTTAGAGTTGATTTCTCCCTGTTTTAGTGATTGCTTTAAAAAAAGCTAAAATACAATAAATGTTTCCCCACTATTACTTCTCCTTTGCAATGGGAAGAACGCTGTCAAAATGAAAGCTGGGAGAATATGGTGCAGACAGTTGACGTTGTGAGGGAAGGCACTCCTCCATCCTGTCTCTCTTTTGGAATAATGGCCTGCAGTATAAAAGTCTGTCAAGCTCTGAGACGCATTCCTTTTGGGCAGGTGCAAGTTCAACCAATGCTGCAACCAGACAGACTGGATCCTGTGAACTAAGAAGAAACGTCTTCAAAAGGTGTAGTAGACACTTTATATGCAAGCCTGGTCTTACTCCTATTTCTACTTCCCTTGGAAAAGAAAACATGTTTCATCCCTTCCCATCTCAGTTTTCCCACAGAAATGAGAAAAGCACAAAGTAAAATTCTGACCAATCTTTACAAAGCATAAGACTTAAAATTCTCCCTGCAGCCTGGTAAATGAACTGTCAACATCTCTCCTGAGGAAGAATCTTTTTGAGAACCACCCTTTTACCAGGCAAGGGACACTGCAACCATTATAAAGGCTTCTGGTTCCAACTTAAAATGTCTACAAATGTTTTGTTTACTGCGAGCAGGAAAATCATAACTTTTAATCATGTACTTTTGGGGTTTTTTTCAGTGTCCATGCATTTCCACATCAAAGTTCTGGTCTTACTTTGCAGAAATTATCTTGTTTGGCCAAAGGACCAGCAGTACCTACAAGTTGCTTTCTCGGGTAAGTGAGGTTCTGTGAAAGCCCTCATGACTTTGGAATTCCTGAGAAGAGAATTTGGAGTTGATGCAGAACCCAAATTATTTATTTCCAGATATGTTGTCTTTGTGAAGCATGCTTTAATTCTGTTGACGATTTCCGAAAGGTTTTGTGCTCTTTTGTTGGTATGAATTCTAACGCGTGTTGTTCTGAATTACGTTCTACTTGGTATTTAAACCATGAAGAAATACCCTTTATCTTTACAAATTTAAGCCACTATCAGTTAACGTTTATTCAACTTCTAAATATTAAAAAATGAAGACTTGCTATTGTATTACTATTGTAGCATTAGTTGTTATTTGTATTGAGCTCTTCACCTAGAAGTTGGAATTTGATTCAAACATACAAACTACGATCTTAATATTTTGTTAAAATATTTGAAATTAATGAGTGTATAGGTAAAATGTAGCAAAAGATATTCTGTATTTAACTCAGATTTATTGGGAAAAGGAATATTAAGTAGCTGCAGTTAATAAACTGGCAGGCCTTTTACATGATCATGCACAACCTTCTTAAGACAGAGATGCCCCAAAATGCAGAAGGGAGACTAATGAGATTTTCAGAAGCACTCTTGACATTGTTCTAATTCCTGTTTGTATTTTTCAAGTGTCTAATGGCCAGATTTTCAAATGCCGATGTTTCTTGAGTTTTTAAAACTACCAGGTCCTCTCCTACTTCTTTTTTATGCATAGCCAAAAAGAGGAAAATGAGCTTTCCTACCTTCTCAGATCCCAGTTTTCTTCAATTTTGCATTAACCCAGTAAGATGCTTTTCTGAAGCACAGGAAAACGTTTTCAGTCTTTGGAGGTATCGCAGGAAAATAAGTGTTTATGTTTTATTTAATTTAGGACTTTTTTTGCTTTTCATGTGATGTTATTTTAAATAGCGGGTACTTTATAGCTGGAAATACATATTCTCAAAGGTCAGACATTTAGGGTGGGATATATCTCATCCAACCGCAGTAATCAAAAAATTAGGCATGTGGTCTGAATTAATCACCTAGGCTCCTTCTATAGATAAATTGGAGGGGGGAGGGAAGGGAGAGGGGCAGCTCTGCAGACAATTCATTCCATCCCAAGATATTCACCCCACTATCTAAATGTCTTGGTCTTTGAAGGTTCCTGTCTCTCTATTGATTAAAAATAGAGCCTGGATGACTAGCTCAGATTAGACAAAAGGCTTTTAGATTGCTACAGTTAGGATGGGTTTCCTCTCAACTAACAGAAGAAAATCTCTACAAAGCGAATATGGACAGGTGTGTTGGGGTTCTTGTGTGTGTTTTACAAAAAAATTATATATCTTTTCTGAATAACTAGGTGGATTACTTTATTACAGAATATAACACTCCTTTCAGTAATTGCTTTTTGCATTGGCTGTAATGCAGGAGGAACTGGCCATGAGTGGGTAAGCAATTACAAAAGTTGAGTCCACTAAGTTCTTGTAACCTTGTCATGCAGTTACTTGCAGGTGCAGTGTGCTGTGACAGATGATACAAAGCAAAAAGACTTAAATGTTTCAAGAAGAATTTCACAGCAGGTAGTTTAAAATCTTGTTAGTGAAAAATTGTGTAAAATAAGCGTATATATTTAAAGGAAGGTTATTTTAATTTGTTACTATGGCCTCAAGTAACCTCTGAGTCCAAAAACAAGCTGAATTCCTAAGACTGCAACAGTAAGGAATTCATACTGAACAATAGTCATATGTTGCAGTGTTTGAATTCATGTACAGCCAGTGCATTTCACACCCCATCAAACATGTTTAGAGATAAACTATAAATGATAATCTAAAGGAAACGCTTTGTGTGTTGTGTATACAGTATTTGAGAAACGCAGACAGGAGAAAGATACCTTTTCATCACTACCGGGTAATATTATAAAATAAAGTATGCTGGACTAGATGACTAATGTTGTAAAGTTTACGCAGCGCAATCCACTCATTGTGTCATCCTGAAAAGGAGTATAATAATTAAAGCAAGACTGAAGCTGTCTGATCTGTATATAGTATAGCTGTGTACACTTCCTGGGGATTTGAGTGTCTGATATGTCATGTGTTTCAGTCCTGCGTTTAGTGGATTAGACATGTAATTTCTTTAAACAATAGTGTAAATTGTATGCTTAATCCAAAGTGCATGAGGCAAAAAATGTTAACTTAAACAGGAGAGAATGCTGTGGCCTCACTGGGAATGTATTTCTATATAGTCTCATAAAATTATTGTACAAATAGATACTGTTAATTTTTTATGTTGTAGCTATTCAGTACAGAAGGTATAGTCCTATAAGAGAGATTACATACGATCCTTTTTACAGACAGAAAATCTTGTTCGGCTCCCCTGTAATTTATAATGATGAAACCACTAACTATATTCGAAAGGGAGGGGAAAACAAAACCAAAAAGTTAAAGGTCCTGGGAGAGGTTCTCTCTGTTGGCATCTTTAGGCTTGTAACCACTTCAGCTCTCGAGAAAATGTTCTCTTCTTTTGCAGAATCTTTTTTTCTTATGAACGGAAACCCCTGTGACTAGCTAGATGGTGGGATATTAGCTGAAACAGTAATTGGAGATAGGGTAGAATAACAATTCAATCCTTCACTCTTTACTCCTGTTCTTCCTTATATACCACTTTCTTTTAAGTATATCTCTTTCTAAAGTTTGGGGGGGGGGGGGGGGGGG